TGGGCTAGCTAAGCAGCAAAGTAAAAGGGCATGGAGAAACTATAGGAATAACAGGGCACTGGAGAGCAGAGAAAGATACCCGAGTGCCAGGAATGAATATCTCAGGATGAGAAGATATGCAGAAAGACATTACGAAAATGACATCGCAAGTAAGGCAAAGACTCAGCCTAAATTGTTGCATAGCCACATCAGGAGAAAAATATCAGTAAAGGAACAGGTAATGAAATTAAGGATAGGGGCAGAAGGATTCACTACAAACGACAAGAAAGTGTGCAAGGAACTGAATAAGAAATTCCAGGAGGTCTTCACATTAGAGCAAGGAGAAGTTTCAGTGATAAGAGAGGGAATAGTTAACCAGGCACCATTAGAGGAGTTTGAGATTACCAGTGGTGATGTAATAAAGCTTTTGCTAGAATTCGATGTGACAAAGGCTATAGGCCCGGATGGAATATCGCCATGGATACTAAAGGAAGGAGCAGAAGCACTGTGCCTCCCGCTCTCCATGGTGTATAACAAATCACTGGCAACAGGGGAACTGCCAGATATTTGGAAAGCAGCTAACGTAGTCCCGATATACAAGAAAGGGGATAGACAGGAGGCACTGAACTACAGGCCAGTGTCCCTAACCTGCATACCATGCAAGCTGATGGAGAAGATTGTGCGAAGAAAGCTAGTGGAGCACCTGGAGCGAAAGAACTTTGTAACACAGCATCAACATGGGATCAGGGATGGCAAGTGCTGCCTCACAGGGTTACTTGAATTCTACGACCAGGCAACAAAAATAAGGCAAGAAAGAGAGGAGTGGGCAGACTGCATATTTTTGGATTGCCAGAAAGCCTTTGATACAGTACCACACAAGAGGCCAGTGAAAAAGCTGGAGATGCAGGCTGGAGTGATAAGGAAAGTACTTCATTGGATAAAGGAGTACCTATGTCAGGTACTCATTATGTCAGACAACCGAAGGTTAGAAAGGCGGGGTCCAAGAGCTAACAGCTCGATCCTGCAGGCAGAAATAGTAAACACAAACACACACAGCTCCTAACCCCTCCCCCCCCACCAAACACACACACACACACAGCTCCTAACCCCCCCCCACCAAACACACACACACACACAGCTCCTAACCCCTCCCCCCCCCCACCAAACACACACACACACACAGCTCCTAACCCCTCCCCCCCCCCACCAAACACACACACACACACAGCTCCTAACCCCTCCCCCCCCCACCAAACACACACACACACACAGCTCCTAACCTCCCTCCCCCCCCCCCACCAAACACACACACACACACAGCTCCTAACCTCCCTCCCCCCCCCCACCAAACACACACACACACACAGCTCCTAACCTCCCTCCCCCCCCCCCCCCCCAAACACACACACACACACAGCTCCTAACCTCCCTCCCCCCCCCCACCAAACACACACACACACACAGCTCCTAACCTCCCTCCCCCCCCCCACCAAACACACACACACACACAGCTCCTAACCCCTCCCCCCCCCCACCAAACACACACACACACACAGCTCCTAACCTCCCTCCCCCCCCCCACCAAACACACACACACACACAGCTCCTAACCTCCCTCCTCCCCCCCCCCCACCAAACACACACACAATAGACAAATTCCAGAAGAGCGGCAAAGCGCGCGCCAAGCTCCCTAATTTGACTTCCAGAATTACTTAAAGCACTTAGATGAATACAAAGTGTGCGTTGCATGAAGCAGCCTAGTCTAGCTTAGCCTCGCTAGTGGCTTACTCACTCCACTTAATGCACTACACAGTTATAAGTAAGTCTGATCTTCAGACACACTTAAAGTCCTACTTATACTTTTATTATTATTATTCTAATTCAAATGTCATCTTAAATGCGTGAAGCTAGAAAAAAAATTCAAGAGGATTTCGGAGTAAAAATGTTTAAAAAAACAGTTGTTCATTGTACTCGCCTAGTTGTGCTTGCGGGGGTTGAGCTCTGGCTCTTTGGTCCCGCCTCTCAACTGTCAATCAACTGGTGTACAGGTTCCTGAGCCTACTGGGCTCTATCATATCTACATTTGAAACTGTGTATGGAGTCAGCCTCCACCACATCACTGCCTAATGCATTCCACCTGTTAACTACTCTGACACTGAAAAAGTTCCTTCTAACGTCCCTGTGGCTCATGTGGGTACTCAGTTTCCACCTGTGTCCCCTTGTTCGCGTCCCGCCAGTGTTGAATAGTTTATCCTTGTCTACCCTGTCAATTCTCCTGAGGATTTTGAAGGTAGTGATCATGTCTCCCCTTACTCTTCTGTCTTCCAGTGTCGTAAGATGCATTTCCCGCAGCCTTTCCTCGTAACTCATGCCTCTTAGTTCTGGGACTACTCTAGTGGCATACCTCTGAACGTTTTCCAGGTGTGTGTGTGTGTGTGTGTGTGTGTGTGTGTGTGTGTGTGTGTGTGTGTGTGTGTGTGTGTGTGTGTGTGTGTGTGTGTGTGTCTGTGTGTGTCTGTGTGTGTGTGTCTGTGTGTGTGTGTGTGTGGGTGGAGTACTTTGTAATACACTTGTATATACTCAGCCTTTTGTGCCTACAGGGTTAAGCTTCGGGTCCTGGTCTCCGCCTTCGCGGCCACCAATCATATCTCAACCCGTTCTCCCAATTCCATGTTGTATTTGGAGGTATAGCTTACCTAAGGGCAATAAATGATGTTTACAATATAGCAGCGTTTTCCGAAATTGACATAATGTCCCGTTTTCTGTTCGTTGGTCTGACACAGCCGACAGCCTGGTCTGACACAGCCGACAGCCTGGTCTGACACAGCCGACAGCCTGGTCTGACACAGCCGACAACCTGGTCTGACACAGCCGACAGCCTGGCCTGACACAGCCGACAGCCTGGCCTGACACAGCCGACAGCCTGGTCTGACACAGCCGACAGCCTGGTCTGACACAGCCGACAGCCTGGTCTGACACAGCCGACAGCCTGGTCTGACACAGCCGACAGCCTGGTCTGACACAGCCGACAGCCTGGTCTGACACAGCCGACAGCCTGGTCTGACACAGCCGACAGCCTGGTCTGACACAGCCGACAGCCTGGTCTGACACAGCCGACAGCCTGGTCTGACACAGCCGACAGCCTGGTCTGACACAGCCGACAGCCTGGTCTGACACAGCCGACAGCCTGGTCTGACACAGCCGACAGCCTGGTCTGACACAGCCGACAGCCTGGTCTGACACAGCCGACAGCCTGAAACCTCAGTAGATACAACATTATTATTACATCACTGTTACTTTGAGGCAACGTTGGAACAACGCAACGTCAGGAAAAGTTGTGGTAAAGTTGTTGCAAGGTTATAGTAAAGTTGTGGTAAAGTTGTTGCAAGGTTATAGTAAAGTTGTGGTAAAGTTGTTGCAAGGTTATAGTAAAGTTGTGGTAAAGTTGTTGCAAGGTTATAGTAAAGTTGTGGTAAAGATATAGTAAAGTTGTGGCAAAGTTGTGGTAAGGTTGTGTAATTGATTTCCACGTTGGTTCTCGGGACTCCGGCTGAGCTGTTCTTGAATTCCAGAAAGGACTAGAAAATGTGATGTGAAGAGTGTGTGAGGCATCAATACTGCCAAGCCACTCTTCCCTCCCTGCTCTCGTGTGGGGGCTTCCTGCCTCCCTTACCCACCACTATCTCCCTCGCAATACCCTGCTCCCTTAACCTCGCCTCGCCCTCTCCACTACACCCTTCCCTTTCCCATCACTGTCAACTTTACTGCCAACAGACAAATGAAGAACAGAAAACGGGGTAATGAAATTAGAATCACATTATCGCTGGCAAAACTCCACATGAGTTATGAACTGCTTATTCCCCCCCTCCCCACATTCCCCCCCCCCCCTTCCTCCTCTCCCCCCCTCCTCACACTCCCCCCTCCTCCCCCCCCCCCGGGGGGCCTCAGGGGCGCTGAGCCCCCTTACGCCCGCTCTCACTTACTCTCTCCAACACTCCTTGTAGTAACTTACACTACACATGTATTAATTTACAACTTGTATTAACTTGCACTTCACATGTGCAAGTTAACCTACAGTACCGATGTATTAACTTACAACAGCTGCATTAACTTGGAAATGCAGCTGCACTAACTTGCAAATACAGCTGCATTAACTTGCAAATACAGCTGCATTAACTTAGCAAGTTGATACAACAGTATCAACTTACAATTCAACTTGAATACATTTGTATCAACTTATACAAGATGTCGGTTACCATACACATACTTGATTTGATGATTGTAATGATTTGAATGATTACATTGATCATTAACCAATCACTGATGATGATTACAATCAGGGTTAACAAGACAATTACTATGGGAGCGCGAAACTACAATTATATTTACTTAACAGCTGCTTACAACTGGGAGTTAATATGTGTAATTGCTTTACATAATGGCCATATGTACTTCAATTACCTTACGCTTTTGTGTTGGTAATACAAGGTAGTTACACTCACCTTCTGGCAACTGTGTTCTGTATTTGTTTGTTTTTAATCCTGGGAATAAACGTAAGAGGTCTGTTATTATTGTGGTAACTTTGTATCTTTATTGTTTGTCTGACAATTTCACTTGTTCTGGCAACACTCAAGTTGCACTTGTTATTCTGGTAACACTGCACCTCCCAATCTCCCGTCAAAACTCTACTTCCAATCATTCTGGTAACACTGCACCTCCCAATCTCCCGTCAAAACTCTACTTCCAATCATTCTGGTAACACTGCTCCTCCCAATCTCCCGTCAAAACTCTACTTCCAATCATTCTGGTAACACTGCACCTCCCAATCTCCCGTCAAAACTCTACTTCCAATCATTCTGGTAACACTGCACCTCCCAATCTCCCGTCAAAACTCTACTTCCAATCATTCTGGTAACACTGCACCTCCCAATCTCCTGTCAAAACTCTACTTCCAATCATTCTGGTAACACTGCACCTCCCAATCTCCTGTCGAAACTCTACTTCCAATCATTCTGGTAACACTACAACTCTATCCTGGCAAAACTGGACAGATCACTGTCCCAGTTACTGGACAGATCACTGTCCCAGCCACTGGACAGATCACTGTCCCAGCCACTGGACAGATCACTGTCCCAGCCACTGGACAGATCACTGTCCCAGCCACTGGACAGATCACTGTCCCAGCCACTGGACAGATCACTGTCCCAGTTACTGGACAGATCACTGTCCCAGCCACTGGACAGATCACTGTCCCAGCCACTGGACAGATCACTGTCCCAGCCACTGGACGGATCACTGTCCCAACCACTGGACAGATCACTGTCCCAGCCACTGGACAGATCACTGTCCCAGCCACTGGACAGATCACTGTCCCAGCCACTGGACAGATCACTGTCCCAGCCACTGGACAGATCACTGTCCCAGCCACTGGACGGATCACTGTCCCAGCCACTGGACAGATCACTGTCCCAGCCACTGGACAGATCACTGTCCCAGCCACTGGACAGATCACTGTCCCAGCCACTGGACAGATCACTGTCCCAGCCACTGGACAGATCACTGTCCCAGCCACTGGACAGATCACTGTCCCAGCCACTGGACAGATCACTGTCCCAGTCACTGGACAGATCACTGTCCCAGCCACTGGACAGATTACTGTCCCAGCCACTGGACAGATCACTGTCCCAGCCACTGGACGGATCACTGTCCCAACCACTGGACAGATCACTGTCCCAGCCACTGGACAGATCACTGTCCCAGCCACTGGACAGATCACTGTCCCAGCCACTGGACGGATCACTGTCCCAGCCACTGGACAGATCACTGTCCCAGCCACTGGACAGATCACTGTCCCAGCCACTGGACAGATCACTGTCCCAGCCACTGGACAGATCACTGTCCCAGCCACTGGACAGATCACTGTCCCAGCCACTGGACGGATCACTGTCCCAACCACTGGACAGATCACTGTCCCAGCCACTGGACAGATCACTGTCCCAGCCACTGGACAGATCACTGTCCCAGCCACTGGACAGATCACTGTCCCAGCCACTGGACAGATCACTGTCCCAGCCACTGGACGGATCACTGTCCCAGCCACTGGACAGATCACTGTCCCAGCCACTGGACAGATCACTGTCCCAGCCACTGGACAGATCACTGTCCCAGCCACTGGACGGATCACTGTCCCAGCCACTGGACGGATCACTGTCCCAGCCACTGGACGGATCACTGTCCCAGCCACTGGACAGATCACTGTCCCAGCCACTGGACAGATCACTGTCCCAGCCACTGGACAGATCACTCAACGTCTCGAGTACTGGCGACATGTATTTAAAACATTAACAGGACCCCCTCCCCCCCCCCCCCAACCTTCCCTACCTCTCCTCCCCCTTCCTACCCCCCCCTCACCTCCCCTCCCCCCCTCCTGCAACAACTCTGCAATACCCACGTTGCACGAACACTGTACTAAATCTAAATTGAAAATGTTGATTCTGGAGTTCAGCAATAAACGGAGGGGCTGGAATCATTGTCCTGTTAGCAGGCTAGGAGATGGGCGCTAATATATGTTTTAATACGAGTCAGGGAGGAATGGGAGGTCCTTATCAATGGCTGTATTATTTTGTATAATACAGCCATTGATAACGGCTGTATTATACATCCTTACTGTACATAAGGTGTTTTATATTGAAGCGGACACCCCCCCCCCTTCCTTAACACCTCTTAGGAGTAGTGTATAATGCACCATGATAACTGTGTATTGTATAATGCACTATGATAACTGTGTATTGTATAATGCACTATGATAACTGTGTATTGTATAATGCACTATGATAACTGTGTATTGTATAATGCACTATGATAACTGTATTGTATAATGCACTATGATAACTGTGTATTGTATAATGCACTATGATAACTGTATTGTATAATGCACTATGATAACTGTATTGTATAATACACCACGATAACTGTATTGTATAATACACCACGATAACTGTATTGCATAATACACCACGATAACTGTATTGCATAATACACCACGATAACTGTATTGCATAATATGTCATATACTTGATGATAATTGTACTTTGTCGCCCATGCAGGGGATGAGCTGTGGCTCTTGGGTACGGCCTCTCAATCCTGAGTCGACTGGTGTATACAGAACCTATTGGGCTCTGTTATATATTGAAAGCTTTGTATGAAGTCAGCCTCCTCGATCTCGTACCACATTTGTTAACTATCCTGCCACTGAAAACAATCGTTCGAATGCTACTACTGTTTACTTTGTATGTGGTGATCATGTCTCGATATTTTTTTTCTCTCCTAGTGACGTAAGGTTTAACTCCTTTAGTCACTCGTAGTGACTCATACCTCTCAGGCATCTATGCGTTACAGGACGATAACAGTGCGTCACGGGACGATAACAGTGCGTCACAGGACGATAACAGTGCGTAACAGGACGATAACAGTGCGTCACAGGACGATAATAGTGCGTCACAGGACGATAACAGTGCGTCACAGGACGATAATAGTGCGTCACAGGACGATAATAGTGCGTCACAGGACGATAATAGTGCGTCACAGGACGATAATAGTGCTTCACAGGACGATAATAGTGCGTCACAGGACGATAACAGTGCGTCACAGGACGATAACAGTGCGTCACAGGACGATAACAGTGCGTCACAGGACGATAATAGTGCGTCACAGGACGATAATAGTGCGTCACAGGACGATAACAGTGCGTTACAGGACGATAATAGTGCGTCACAGGACGATAATAGTGCGTCACAGGACGATAATAGTGCGTCACAGGACGATAATAGTGCGTCACAGGACGATAATAGTGCGTCACAGGATGATAATAGTGCGTCACAGGACGATAATAGTGCGTCACAGGACGATAATAGTGCGTCACAGGACGATAATAGTGCGTCACAGGACGATAATAGTGCGTTACAGGACGATAACAGTGCGTCACAGGACGATAACAGTGCGTCACAGGACGATAACAGTGCGTCACAGGACGATAACAGTGCGTCACAGGACGATAATAGTGCGTCACAGGACGATAACAGTGCGTCACAGGACGATAATAGTGCGTCACAGGACGATAACAGTGCGTCACAGGACGATAACAGTGCGTTACAGGACGATAACAGTGCGTCACAGGACGATAACAGTGCGTCACGGGACGATAACAGTGCGTCACAGGACGATAACAGTGCGTCACAGGACGATAACTGCGTCACAGGACGATAACAGTGCGTCACAAACGATAACAGTGCGTCACAGGACGATAACAGTGCGTTACAGGACGAAAACAGTGAGTTACGGAACGATAACAGTGCGTTACAGGACGATAACAGTGCGTTACAGGACGAAAACAGTGAGTTACGGAACGATAACAGTGCGTTACAGGACGAAAACAGTGCGTTACAGGACGAAAACAGTGAGTTACGGAACGATAACAGTGCGTTACAGGACGAAAACGCACAGTGCGTATAAACAGGAAGACCCCAGCATTTAACGCACTCTTGCCATGCGCAAGGCACGCATATACTCCCCTCAATCCCCACACAACTCACGCAAAACGCATATTTGCGGCACTCAAAGCAGGTCTTCAATACGCATGGTGCGTATAACGAGCCCCAGTACGTGCCGTGCGCACGCCTGTAGCACGTGAGGTCCTATAGACTGTCACAGGCAATGCCAGTCAGTATCTTTGTTAAATTAACGCAATATCATTGTTACATTAACCTATTACCTGTGTTAACTGGTGCTGTACCTGTGTTAACTGGTCCTGTACCTGTGTTAACTGGTCCTGTACCTGTGTTAACTGGTCCTGTACCTGTGTTAACCTGACCCCGTACCTGTATTATCCTGGCCCCGTACCTGTGTTAACCTGGCCCCGTACCTGTGTTAACCTGGCCCCGTACCTGTGTTAACCTGGCCTCGTACCTGTGTTAACTGGCCCCGTACCTGTATTAACCTGGCCCCGTACCTGTGTTAACCTGGCCCCGTACCTGTGTTAACCTGGCCCCGTACCTGTGTTAACTGGCCCCGTACCTGTGTTAACTGGCCCCGTACCTGTGTTAACTGGCTCCGTACCTGTGTTAACTGGCCCCGTACCGGTGTTAACTGGCCCCGTACCGGTGTTAACTGGCCCCGTACCTGTGTTAACTGGCCCTGTACCTGTATTAACTTGGCTCCATACCTGTGTTAACTGGCCACGTACCTGTGTTAACTGGCCCCGTACCTGTGTTAACTGGCCCCGTACCTGTGTTAACTGGTCCTGTACCTGTGTTAACTAGTCCTGTACCTGTGTTAACTGGTCCCGTACCTGTGTTAACTGGTCCTGTACCTGTGTTAACTGGCCCCGTACCTGTGTTAACTGGCCCCGTACCTGTGTTAACTGGTCCTGTACCTGTGTTAACTGGCCCCGTACCTGTGTTAACTGGCCCCGTACCTGTGTTAACTGGTCCTGCACCTGTGTTAATTGGTCCTGTACCTGTGTTAACTGGTCCTGTACCTGTGTTAACTAGTCCTGTACCTGTGTTAACTGGTCCCGTACCTGTGTTAACTGGTCCTGTACCTGTGTTAACTGGTCCTGTACCTGTGTTAACTGTTCCTGTTCCTGTGTTAACTGGTCCCGTACCTGTGTTAACTGGTCCTGTACCTGTGTTAACTAGCCCCGTACCTGTGTTAACTGGTCCTGTACCTGTGTTAACTGGTCCTGTACCTGTGTTAACTGGTCCGGCACCTGTGTTAATTGGTCCTGTACCTGTGTTAACTGGTCCTGTACCTGTGTTAACTGGTCCTGTACCTGTGTTAACTGGTCCTGTACCTGTGTTAACTGGCCCTGTACCTGTGTTAACTGTTCCTGTACCTGTGTTAACTGGCCCCGTACCTGTGTTAACTGGTCCTGTGCCTGTGTTAACTGGTCCTGTACCTGTGTTAACTGGTCCGGCACCTGTGTTAATTGGTCCTGTACCTGTGTTAACTGGTCCTGTACCTGTGTTAACTGGTCCTGTACCTGTGTTAACTGGTCCTGTACCTGTGTTAACTGGTCCTGTACCTGTGTTAACTGGCCCCGTACCTGTGTTAACTGGTCCCGTACCTGTGTTAACTGGCCCTGTACCTGTATTAACTTGGCTCCGTACCTGAGTTAATTGGTCTTGTACCTGTGTTAACTGGTCCTGTACCTGTGGTAAACTACCTTAATCAGTGATATACACACACTAATCTTGTATGAATAGGGTGAAGACGCCAAAATAGGCGTAAGACGTGTATTTTTTTATGAAAAATACAGCGATGAAAAATACATTAACCTCTGATGTATCAAGAGACATTGTTGCATCCTGCAACAAATGCTTTGGGAGAGCTTTAACTCGAATACAAGTGAGGTATTTGAGAGGAATATGGTGAAGATGGTTGTGGTTGTGGTCATATGGGGGGGGGTGTTGTGGTAACAGTGCTTACCTAACAGTGATTAAGGGGGAGTGGGTTCCAGCTCCTGGTCCCCACTCTACTAGCCTTGTTGTACCTGTTACGTAACAACCTAACTATTTTGACCGTTGAATTCTTTGTCGAATTTAAAGTTGTGATGGAGGTGGCTTCCACAACTTCTACCCTACCAACAACTTGGAGCCGGTCGGCCGAGCGGACAGCACGCTGGACTTGTGATCCTGTGGTCCTGGGTTCGATCCCAGGCGCCGGCGAGAAACAATGGGCAGAGTTTCTTTCACCCTATGCCCCTGTTACCTAGCAGTAAAATAGGTACCTGGGTGTTAGTCAGCTGTCACGGGCTGCTTCCTGGGGGTGGAAGTCTGGTCGAGGACCGGGCCGCGGGGACACTAAAAAGCCCCGAAATCATCTCAAGATAACCTCTCAAGAAGATACAGTACATTCCACTTGTTAACTACCTGTAACGAGTACTTTCTCACATTCCTTCGACTAATTTGTGTTTCCAGCTTCGCCTGTGTCCTCTTGTTCTACTTTCTGTCAATTTGAAGAAGCTATCCTTGTCCAACGGTGTTATATTCCCTTTAGTATCTTGAATGTTGTGATCATCTCCCCTCCGATCCTTCTAGCCTCTATGACTTTGAGATTAAGTTCCACTAGCCTATCCTTGAAGCTTAAACATTTAATTTTGGCACCAGTCTTGTTGGTACACCTGTAGGTACTCCCAGGTACTCCCAAGTACTCTCAGGTACTCCCAAGTACTCTCAGGTACTCCCAAGTACTCTCAGGTACTCTCAGATACTCCCAGGTACTCTCAGGTACTCTCAGGTACTCCCAGGTACTCCCAGGTACTCTCAGGTAC